TGGACTCTCATTCTGACGGCACCCATTCACTGCAGAGGATCCATTGGTGAGCAAGTGATGGAATGTTAAATTTCTCCAAATCTGTTAAAATGAAGGAACAAACTCATCTACATCTTGGATGGCCTGAGGGTAAGTAAATTTTGGGTTATTTTTGGGTCAACTTTTTCTTTAATACAAATGATATGAAATATAGTTTCATAGAGGCATCACAAAACAATATGTATTGTGAAAATGCTATACAAATAAAACTTGACTTGACAAACACAAGGTACCTTCTCAAACTCCTGTGGATGCATCCGGAAGCTTTGATCCTTCAGCAGGAGTTTGGACAGCTTCTCCTTTAACATCTCCAGCTTGACTTTGTCTAAGAGAAGCAGTGAGGGATATTAGCAAAGATATTTCATGTTTAACATTCTTTACAGACTTAATTTTACTATGTACATTTATATTAAGCATAAAATTTCACCTTCTTCTTTTCTCTCCTCATTTTCCTCTTTCAGCTCCTGGTCGGTCACTGCTATCTTTACACTAGATTTAAGGGTGAACTCGGGCACTTTTACCCCCTGCAGAATGCTCTGAATATCGGCACGATTTCTTGAGCCTGTAATCCCATAGATCTGCCCATATAAATTGCCCGCTGCCACAATGAAGTCCATATGGGTGGTCTATAAAACAAAAGAAAACAGTAATAATTTAAAATCAAAATACTTCTATTGTAGCTGGCAGAACAAAGGCAAAACTGTGAGTTTGTGTTTGATTTTGAGCTGAAGTGTGGAAAAACTTGCCATGGATCACAAACACACAGTAGAGAAACAGATCTCCAGTGGTTAACAGGAAATGATGAAAGGAAAGTGTGTAGCGCATTCAAAAAACAACACTTCCCAAAATGGGTTAACCTATGAAACCACAGAATTCAAACAGACTGTTATGAGTTAAAAGGAATTCCTTTAGGGGAACACAAATCTAGAATCAAGACAATGGAAAAAAATGGGCCATAAAATAGAATCATGGTTATAGAATGGAATAATTTGCATATCTAGAGATGCCTAATTAAAATATTTAGTTTGTCTTGATTTTTTTTCAGTTTATACATGTATCTGAAAGGGTTTCTGTGAAAAGCATGACTTGTTTGCTAATGTGGCACTGTGTGAGTGTGTCTATGTGAGAGAAGTCGGGGGTTTAACATGTTTTCACCTTGCTTTGTTAATCACAGTTGATCACTGATATCAGATAGTATCTTACTCACAACAGGAGAGAAACTGTGAGTCATCTAAACTTAGACAATGCTGTCTGCAGGGGATTATGGGAGATCCCAAGGGCTGTGTGTGGGGATTTACTCAATAAAACTTACATTGTTGGAGTCAAAGGTCAAAGGATGTGGACATCTCTTTGCGCCCATCCAGAACGGAAGCCCAGAGCTTGTTACCTAGTGAAGACCAAAGAAAAAAAGTGTTTAAAAAATATATATTTTAAAAATATATTATTTATTTACATTTTTAGATAAATGATTCATAATATATGTGTATGCAGGATCAAATTTGTTTTTATTATATATACATACTTTTATTTCTTTGATTTTATTTATCATTAGATGTTTGTCCCTTTTTATTTAAAATGTTTTTATAAACATTGCTTTAATATACAAATACATTCCTAAAGATGCTATATAGTTCCATTGTTATTTTATTTATTACATGTGTATGTAGGCTTGATTAATTACATTTTAAATATTATTATATATACTTTTTATATTATTTTTGTTTTATTTATAACATTTATAAATTGTATACTTTATCATCTAATACAATTTTCATTATAATTATTATTATTATTATGTGTTTGTGTTGTTTATTTTATGCTATATGTTTATTTTATGCTATATTAGATGCTATATAGTCAGCTCCAGTAAGCAAGAATGAAAGATGTCTACATGTGTTGTTGGCCAAATGGAAGCCCTGCAGCCACTTGTCACATGCTGATGCGAAGTGGACGTGATTGGTTACCATAAAGCCCATGTCTCCAAGCCTTTTGCTCAGACAGACAGAATAATGAGTTTATCATGTGTGTGTGTGTTCAATATAATTAGTCTTTTAACAAAAAACAGAAGGTGCTGTTCAAAAGAGCAAAGACAGACCAAAAGATCAGTAACACAAAGCTTATTCCACTGGTTTAACAGAAAGAATTGTGTGTGTTCATCTTTACAGCCGTCTTTCAGCACTCCAGGAAAGACGTCCAAGTGATAATGAGAAACTGTTATGTCAAACTCAACCAAACCTCAGGGGAACTGCATGATTTATTCTTTTTAGTACATTCATGCAAAATGGATCATGCACAAACCCTCAAACTGAACTGTGGTCTACAACTTCTGATTTTGCAACAGTTATAACTGGACATGCAAGATAAAGGACATCAGAGTTTCAAAACTCTGTCTTCTTGTCCGTATCACCCCTCCTCTGGACGCATGTTTATCTCAGTGTGCAGGCATTGATGCTATGGATTAGACATCTCTCCACATCCGTACTTTGCATAATCATAGACACACAGACTACCAGTAAAAAAGATAAATTGTACTTTTACTCTGTCAATAAGACTAAATTAGAATCTAAGAAAATATTGCAACATGCTTCCATTCTCATGATGAAGACTTTAGTTAATTTATATAATTTAATTTAAACTTTATCATGCCATTTAACCCTTTACAGACCTCTCACTGTGGTTCAGGGCCCACTGTTGTTATAGACAACAGTGCCACCTGCTGGTGCAAAGTGAAACTAACGCAATCAACCCAGAAACAACGCATTATTTGACAAATTATTAAGGGAGTATTCACACCTGTCTTGTTAGGTTTGATTGAATCGACCTCAAGTTCGTTTTACCCTTTGGTGCAGATCTTTTGGGCAGGTGTGAATACAGCACTCGCACTCTGGTGCGGACCAAACAACTGTACCGAGACAGCTGAAGAGGTGGACTCGGTCCGCTTCCAAACGAACTCTGGTACGGTTGAATGAATGAACCAATGAATGGATGACCTTCAGCACATGTGTGGTTTTGTTTACAGTTTCTGGTTCACTTGCAAAAAGGGCAGTGTGAAAGCGAACCACACCAAACAAAAAAAAAATCAACATTGTATTTGGTCCGGACCAAAGCAAGTGACCTAGCGGACTTTCCTGGTGTGAATACACCCTAAAAGACTAGAAGGCCTTTAAGTAACCATTTAGCAGGCCATTTTATTATCCAAAGCATTTTACTGTACAGTTTTTGGGTGAATCTCATGAAAACTGTCAAAACATATATGGGTCTAATTTCAAACTCTAAAATAAAATAAAATAAAAAATTTGCTTAAACACCATTAGGAATGATTCGCACCCTTTTTTGTCATAAAAATCTATAATTAAAAAAAAAAAAATCAAATATATATTATATATGTTTTTCTTAAGACTGTCTGGTAATTATCATTTTTGAGAATAACTCAGTTATAATAAAAAAATTATGTCACAGTGGAAAAATCACAATGGTTCTTAAAATAGGTTTTATAAAAGTTGTGATTTTGGGATATGATCTAGACATGCTTTCATGAAATTTACCCTATTACAGTGACAATTCCCCCTAGGTTGCATACTGTAACTGGTGTGTACACTGGTCTCTGTGTTACCTGGTCAGGGGGAAAGCAGTGTAGCAGTTGTTTAATGGGATTGTTGTAGAGCGTTTCCCACTGTCTGCGGGCCCAGCTGACAGAGTCAGCCCAGTTCTGAGGCCATTCCTCACCCAGACTCCTATAGACACCCTCCAGTATTTCCACAGCCTCCACATCCCCACGTGCGACTGTGCGATCAACAAATGTTGGGTCACTGCAGAGATGGAGAAAAGAAGTAGAGCTATCAGTATAGGAGCAGTTTTTGTTATTTTAATTTTTTTATCGTCAATTGTTTAGGCTAAATTTGATATGGCACCAAAATTATCATTAACCAAAACTTAAACCATTAAAAACACTTCCAGTTTTTAACCAACAAAAGCTGTTGAGTTGGGTGGGGTCCTTCCTTGTCTTCACTCACACTGCCGACAGCCAAGAGGAAGTAGTTGAAATTGAGGCAGTTATGCTGCTGCCTTCCCTTTGCGGTATCTGCCTACAGCACACAGCACCTCAACTTCCTGCACACTCGCCTCTCTATAAACATCCTTCACTTAATTTCAGATGGAAAAGAGATCTGACAACAGTTGACACTTGCGGCAGGAAGTCCAGGAGGAAGTATGGGGTTGAACTAATAATGAATAGCTGAGCCTGTATACTTGAAGTAGTATAATATTGAAACAGAATCTGTTTCAATATTACCAGATGATTCAACCTGGTTTCATTTCAACCAGATGATCCAACGGTAGCTGCAAGGATCTCAGACTGCCTGGTTCTGACAACAGTTGACACTTGCGGCAGGAAGTCCAGGAGGAAGTATGGGGTTGAACTAATAATGAATAGCTGAGCCTGTATACTTGAAGTAGTATAATATTGAAACAGAATCTGTTTCAATATTACCAGATGATTCAACCTGGTTTCATTTCAACCAGATGATCCAACGGTAGCTGCAAGGATCTCAGACTGCCTGGCGGACATCTCGGCATGGATGAAAGATCATCACCTACAGCTCAACCTGGCAAAGACTGAGCTTCTTGTCTTCCCAACCACTCCAACTCTACAGCATGATTTCA